GAAGAACAGATAATTTTGAGATACTCTCTCACAATGAGCAGATAATTTTTAATTCCAACGTGAGTTCTTCTCACGGTTTTCATTCAATATAAATAAAACACAAGAGTCTTTCTCTTGCCTAACAAGTGCAAGATATTTATTTCCTACTCATAATAACTACTAGTACGACACCCGTGTACTACACGGTTGTTTGAAAAAAAATATATAAAACATAAAATAATAGAAAAAACACATGAACTATTTCAATGTATTTGTATAGATATTCTAAAAAGATTTAAATAATTTATTTACCATGGTGTTAATCAAAATTTATTTTATTTTTATTTCAACTCTTTAAAATATATTAGAAAGATCATGTAATATTCTATAACTATTTCAATGTATTTTTATAGATATTATAAAAATATTTAAATAATTATTTACCATGATTGGATTGAAAAGATATATTATGCAAGTGGCTATAAATTTTTTGTAAAATTATAGTATTTTTTAATTTAAACAAAGTTATTGTTACATTAATTATATAAATAAAATAATATGTAAAGCTAATTTTTTTATTTTGGTTTACACGACATATAAGATAAGAATAAGAATCCTAATATGCAAGTGGCTATATTTTTTTGTAAAATTATAGTATTTTTTTTAATTTAAACTATATAAAAAGGTTATTAAAGCTAAGCTTCCGAAGCGTGCGAGGCAACCATTTAGGCTCAGCACGTTTTTAAATTATATTAAGAAGGGATTAACTAAGGAAAGAGCATAAACCAAATAAAAATAATAAAAATACATAGATAATTAAATATCAAGTCGATCAAACTTGTCCAAATATGTTATTGCGAGCTCGTCTCCATCATTATGTCCCAAATATAATTACACAATGTTAGAATTAAGTGTTGGACGTGTGTATGTTTCTTTCTATTGGCAGTTGTATTCTTAGGCAGTTATATTCAGTTTCCTGAATTTTCTCTTAGTGCAATAACTGACTTAGTGCCATGTCCCTCACCTTATGTAACTGTAGGCTTTAAGGTTCTCCGAGCTTGTATAAATATAGTATCATATAGGTCATTCTAATATTAAGAGTCCCTACTTTAACCAGTCTCTTTTTCTTAAAAACCTGCTTTGTGTTCCTAAAATTACCAAGAACTTAATTAGTGTATCTCAGTTTTCAAGAGATAATAACTGCTTCTTTGAATTCTATCCTGATTTTTGTTCTGTTAAGGATCAGTCTACAGGACAAACACTTCTCCGGGGGACATTTAAAGAGGGGCTATATCAGTTTGATTTGACAAAGACCTTGCCAACTTCACCACAACTTCCAGAATCAAACTTCAGTCATTCACCTGTTACTTTTCTTTCTACCAGCAGTTCCAATTCCAAAAGGCAAGAGGACTTAGACATTTGGCATCAAAGATTAGGTCATCCTAGTTTTGACATTGTTGCTAAAGTTGTCTCTGATTGTAATCCTGCCATTGATATTAATAAAAGTGCTCTTTCCATTTGTGATGCTTGCCATTTAGCAAAGTCTCATAGATTGCCCTTTGATGATTCCTCTACTTCCTATCATGAACCATTTGAACTTGTTCATTCAGATTTATGGGGCCCTTCTCCAGTAAAAACTAAAACAGGTCATAGCTACTATGTAAGCTTCATTGATCAATTCACCAAATTCACTTGGCTTTATTTTCTGAAAAATAAATCTGAAGTTCACAGTGTATTTCTTCAGTTCAAAATCATGATAGAAACTCAGTTCAACAAGAAAATCAAAGTCATTCAATCTGACTGGGGAGGGGAATACAGAAGTTTAAACACATTTCTTAAAGATAATGGGATAGTTCATAGGGTCTCTTGTCCCTATACACCTCAACAAAATGGCACAGCTGAAAGGAAGAATAGGCATGTGGTTGAAGTTGGCTTGGCATTGTTGGCTCAATCTGGTATACCTCAATCTTTCTGGTTAGATGCTTTCAGAACTTCTGTTTATCTTATTAATAGACTTCCTACAAAAACTCTTCAATTCAAGTCTCCTTATGAAATGTTGTATCAGCAAAAACCCAACTACAAACTTCTCAAAACTTTTGGGTGTTTATGCTTTCCTTATCTCAGACCAATGAACACTCACAAACTTCAATATAGGTCTGCTCCTTCAACTTTTCTTGGTTATTGTCCTGGTTACAAAGGTTACAAAATCTTGTTGCCTTCTGGAAAAACCATTATCACCAGACATGTTACTTTCTATGAAAACAGATTTCCCTATATAGAAAAGCATAAAAAGGAAACTTGTGATAACACTCAAAATGATCTTGTAGCAACCCAAATACCCTTACTTCAATTTCCTATTGTTAAGAAACACTTTATAATACCTCCTCTTCAAACTGCTCAGAACAATTATTCACCTCAGTCAAATAGAACCGGTCATCATTCAAGCACTAGTCCTTCATCTATTCCTTCTAACTCTTCATCTTCAAATCTTCATACTCAAAGAACCCATGATTCCATTCCTCTTATAGTGGAATTACCTGTTGAGAAGAGTATTCAATCTGAGCCATCTCACAATAATGCTCATCCTATGATCACTAGAGCTAAAGCTGGGATATCTAAACCCAAGGTGTATGTTTCTGCTTATGATGAAAAAGAACCTCAGAATGTTGATGAAGCTCTTAATAATCCTAATTGGAAGAGAGCAATGGAAGAAGAGTTGAGAGCTCTCAAGAAGAACAACACCTGGAAGTTGACAAATGCTCCAGTTGATAAGAATATTGTTGACTGTAAATGGGTTTTCAGACTTAAGAAGCACTCTGATGGAAGCATAGCAAGATATAAAGCAAGGTTGGTGGCTAGAGGATTTACTCAAACACCTGGACTTGACTATTTTGACACTTTTAGTCCAGTTGTAAGATCAGTTACAATTAGAACTGTTCTTTCTCTTGCTGTCAGTTTTGATTGGGATATAAGGCAACTCGACATCAATAATGCCTTTCTAAATGGAGATCTTGATCAAGAAATCTTCATGAGTCAGCCTCCTGGCTTTCAAGAAGGATCTTCCTCAATGGTTTGTAAGCTTTCTAAGGCCTTATATGGGTTAAAACAGGCACCTAGAGCATGGACTGCAAAGCTGAAATCAATTCTTAAGACTTTTGGTTTTTCTTGCTCAATGGCTGATAACTCTCTGTACTTCAAATTTGGTAATGGCTCTTGCATCATTCTACTAGTCTATGTGGATGACATTCTTGTCACAGGTAGTAATTCAAGTGAGATTTCTCAACTCATTAACAATCTTGACAGAGAGTTTTCTTTGAAAGATCTTGGAAAAGTGCATCAGTTTCTTGGTATTGAGATCACTCACAATACTCAAGGTGTTCATTTATGTCAGAAGTCTTATATAAAGGAGCTGCTAAGAAGGGCTAATATCAGTCAAACCAAAGGATGTCCAACACCAATGGTCTCCTCTCCTCAACTGTCCAAGTACATTGGAAAACCTGAAGTGGATGTGAAGCTTTACAGAAGCATCATTGGAGGCTTACAATATGCTACCTTGACCAGGCCTGATATTGCCTTTAGTGTGAATAAATTAAGTCAATATATGCAGCAACCTTTGGATACTCATTGGAAATGTATTAAAAGAGTTCTCAGATATCTTGCATCCACTCAAAACTTTGGAATTCAGATCAACAAAGGCAGCTCTCTTAATCTAACAGGTTTTTCAGACTCTGATTGGGCAACCGATATTGATGATAGAAGATCAGTTTCAGGATTTTGTATTTTTCTTGGTGCTAATCTAATTTCCTGGTGTTCAAAGAAGCAAACTACAGTGTCAAGATCTAGCACTGAAGCCAAGTATAGAAGTCTTGCTCAATGTGCTTCTGAAATGTTGTGGATCAAGGCTCTTTTGAAAGAGTTAAAGATATCGATTCAAAGAACTCCTATAATCTGGATTGACAATGTAGGAGCTGAACTTCTTGCAGCAAATCCAGTGATGCATTCAAAGTCCAAGCACATAGAACTTGACATTCATTTTATAAGAGAAAAAGTGGCAGCAAATGAGTTGAGAGTTCAACATGTTCCCTCTATTGATCAAACTGCTGATGTGCTCACTAAAGCTTTATCTGGTCAATCCTTCACCAGAATGAGAAGCAAGCTTACTGTCATACCTCAACCTGGTTTGGATTGAGAGGGGCTGTTAGAATTAAGTGTTGGACGTGTGTATGTTTCTTTCTATTGGCAGTTGTATTCTTAGGCAGTTATATTCAGTTTCCTGAATTTTCTCTTAGTGCAATAACTGACTTAGTGCCATGTCCCTCACCTTATGTAACTGTAGGCTTTAAGGTTCTCCGAGCTTGTATAAATATAGTACTTCTGCCTTCTCCAGCCAATAATGAAAAATATAATGATGGCTTAGTTTACTCTTTCATATTCTATTGCTTTTCATTTCTTAATTATGGATCTTATTTCTTTTCACACAATGTAAGAGGGAAAGAAACAGAATTATGAAAAAAAAATTATTTGCAGTTTTTAATTTTTGTAGAAAGACACATTGCATAAACGGTAAACCTATTTTGCGTTTTGTTATTGCGAAATTTTGAGTTTGCGATCCAATATTCAGTACCGTTTGGGACGGACCAACGTTAATGAAGTTGGTGAAGAGCCAACTAAAATAGATTTCGGTGATTCAGTCCCTGAAGAATGCTATTATATGTGGCTTGATACTAAAACTCAGATAAATCCCCGAAACTAAAATAAACATCAATTCCAAATTTAATTCATTTAACGGCTCTGTTCTCAATTCAATCAAAGCTAATGCCCTAGCCAATAGAGATTTTTTAGTAGCAAACTAGCAGTGGTTATGAGCATTCGATTCAATTTGCATTAATTGAGAAAACCATACAAAGTAATATTGACAAAACCCGCTTAAATCAATTGACCAAAACAAAGATCACAAGAATAAGGTTCACTTTTACATGATTTTTGTCAACATCAAGCGGTCATCAAAAGCACATTACGATTCAATTACGACAGATCCGGGCCGTGGGCATGGAGACGCAGATTGGCCCGTACTTCTTCTTTGCGTCAGAGGTCCCAGGCTTGGGCTCGGCTGCCATCGCCACTTTCGCGGCGGAACACACGGCGGCGGCCGCCACCGCGAACATCAGATCCCTGCGGCCGTTGATTTTGCCCTCCTCTGCCCTGTTCACCGCCGTCTTCTCCTCGGAGCCACTCGACGAGGCCCGCACCGCCACCATGCCGCGGCGGGAGGTGGTGGAGAGATTCTTGGCGGCGGAGCTACCCAAGAAGGAGGCGGTCATGGTAATGGAAGCCATTATTCGGTTTCTTTGTCGTGTGATTTTTGGGCTGCAGAGTGCGGAGTTTTGGAGGTGGACTTTAGTTTATGAGTGGAGTGCGGTTTGTGTTGGTTCATACAAATGCGATCCATTTTCTTATCCCAAAATTGTGGATGTGTTCCAATGGCGCGGTGCCACGTGTTGGAAGTCTATCTCTATACCAAAATTTGGTGGTTAACAATCTTCTTATCTTTCTTCTAAAAAATGGAAATTACTCTGTGACTAGACAAGCATCTTTGAAAGTGGAGTGTAAGTATTACTGGAAACAAACTAGTACGTGGCCCGTGTGATACACGGGGAAACAATATTACGATTGTGTCATAAGTTAAATATATAAATAACATTCATTATAATTCACCTATTGTTTTCATAACAGGACCGGACCGAACAGTCCGACCGAATAGACCGACAATCGGTTTATCGATCAGTCCGATTAACTTAAATAAAATGTTTGCTTGCAAACCGGTCAACGCCAGTCGGTTTTAGTGTTCGGTTGAACTGGTAAGAACAGTACGATATTTTAAATATATTGTTATTTACTTTTATTGTCAAATTTGAAAGTTTGGCCATTATTTTTGCATTAAAAGTTTATTTATGTGATACGATTTATTCTTCCAAATTTCTAGATATTTATGTTAATAAGATATTGGTCATAGGTTGTTGATAATGTTTGTTTCCAAAAAACATTAAAGAAAAAATGCAAGTACATCCTATACAGTTTTTTAATTTTGAACCAAGATGTGCTTTCTAAAAAATATTGATACCTATTAATAAGACCGTATAAATTTTAAATTAATATGTACATTATTTTTGCATCAAATTTTAATTTCTTTGATTGAGTTATTATCACGAAATTCAAGACAATTTACCTTGATATTGTAATCGGCTCAAGTTAATCTATATGTTAATAAGATTTGTTTACAAACAATTTTCAAAATAATTAATACACCATTTTCAAATGGGTTTGAAAAAAAAACCCACGGATATTTGTAGATTTGGAATACGAATCTTTTTAAAATTGATCTATAGATCCAATATGTAAAATATGATGATATCTTTTGAAAATTGATCTAAATATTAAAAGATGGAATGCATTTGATTCCATATTAACTAAATAAAGTACAAAAATATTTTCAATATAATTAAAATGGTGTTCTGAAGTTGGGTTGAGAAAAAAAGTGTTAATGGATATTTGATTAAATAGAGCAGGTACCTTTATAAAATAGCTCTAAATATGTCACATGTAAAATATAAAATGTAGTTGAGTACATATTAAACAAAATAAATCTATCAAAAATAATTAAAAAGGCTTTAGTAAATCGATTTACAAAAATATGGACATATTTTCCTTAAGTGGTAAGTCAACAAATTTTAAAAAAATAATTTAACTGTCCACAAATGAATTTTCCATCAACCTCTTTCAATATATATAGATTAGATATCAATTAATTTTAAAAAGGATTGGTATTGAAATAAAACTCAAATTTTTAAAAGCATTATTTGTACTAAATTGAGCAAGTTGGTTGCCAAAACTAAGTATCCGTGATTGAAGGCATATTTAAATGTTTCTCATTTAATAAATAAAAAATAAAAACAAAACTTGCCCGAAATGGTATGCAATTAATGTTGCCAGATTTTTTGCTTACTATTTTTGGTAAATAGTAATTCTTATATTACATATATATATATATATATATATATATATATATATATATATATAGATTATGCAACTATATGACATACATTTGAATATAATTGATAAAGTGTGAAATAGTTACGCGATAAACATTGCGCCAAACAAGCGACGATAATTGATAAAGTGCATAAATATTATGCGATAAACTCTGTGACATACAATCAAGATTACCGTATAGAATTTCATTGAAGTTATGAAATAGACATGCAAAAATAATTGATAAAGCGCAAAATAGTTATGCGATAAACCATGTGACAAGCAGAAGAAGATAATTGATAAAGTGCGAAATATTATGCGATAAACTATGCGACAAACAAGTGAAGATAATTTATAAAGTGAAAAATGTTTATGCGATAAGCTAAACCACAGAAAGACGAAGATAATTTATCAGAGTGAAATATTTATACGAAAGTTATGCGAGGAAATAATTGATAAAGTGCAAAATATTTATGCGACAAACATACGAAGATTAACGATAAAGTGAGAAAATATTATGCAATAAACTATGCAACAGGCAAGCAAAAATAATTTATAAAGTGTGAAATATTTATGCTATAAGATATGCTATAGTAATTGCAAGATAATTAATAAAATGTGAAATATTTATACGAAAAGCTATGCGACAGACAGACGAAGATAATTTATAAAGTGCGAATATAGTTATGCGATAATCTATGCTACTAACATGAGAATGTAATTCGTAATGTGCAAAAATAGTGTGCAATAAACTATGCAACAAACAAACGAAGATAATTTATAAAGTGCGAAATATTTATGCGATAAACTACGCGACAAAGAGATGAAGATAACTTATAAAATGCGAAACATTTATGCGATAAGATATGCTATAGACAGATAATAAAGTGCGTAATATTTATAAGAAAAGCTATGCTACAGACAAGCAAAGATAATTGGTAAAATGAGAAATTGCTATGCGATAAACTATGTGACTAACAGGCGAAAATAATTGATAAAGTGCAAAATTATGCGATAAACTATGTGACAATCAGACGAAGATAATTTATAAAGTGCGAAATATTTATACGATATGATATGTGGCACACGGGCGAAGATAATTGATAAAGTGCAAAATTGTTATGCAATAAACTATATGATAGACATATGAAGATAATTGATAAAATACAAAAAAGTATGCGATAAACTATGTGACACATAGACGAAGTTTATTGAGTAATTGCGAAACAAATTACGCGTAAAGTATGCAACAGACATGCAATGATAATATACAAGTGTGAAATATTTATGCCATAAACGATGCGACAGACAAACAAAGTTCATTGAGCAAGTGCAAAGCAAATTATGCAACAAAGTATGCAACAAAAAGGCGAAATAAATTGTGCAAGTGCAAATTACTTATGTGATCAACTATGCGACAGACAGACAAAGATAATCTAGCAAGTGTAAAAACAATTATGCAATAAAAGTATGCGAAATGCCAAACAACTCGATGTCGAGAATGCCAAGGTTCTTGTTCTTCAAGGGAGGAATAAGCAATTGGAGGAGGAGGTTGCGCATGTCGAGTGATCATTTCATTCGCATGTCATTCAATCGTACCGCTCATGTCATTAGTATATTATGGGGCTACCCAAAATAACATCAAGTATAAATGTGTCGACTGGACGAATAAGTGACCCACTTCACAAGGACAGCCAGAAGACCATCTACTGAAGCCTAGACGACCTGAAACAATCGGTCAACCTGGAATACTGGGACGACCTGGAGAGACCCTTAGACTGCGATGGTCACAATTTGAGCTAGACGACTTGAGAAGAGTCATGACGACCCGATAATTACCAAAATCAGACTTACAAGAATATGAAGGAATTTTATGGAGATAAGAAGTAATCTAATGATTACTAGGATATGGTTAGGATTTGAATAATAACTAAACAGATAAAATCAAACCCTGCAGCCAGATAGGTTGACTATTTCAGGAAGGTATCCTTCTATAAAAGGGGTTGAGTTATCACTAAAAACACTCTGCATTCAATACACATATTACATACAGTTATGTACTTACAGAGCACTTTACTATCTTCTTCCTCAGTTCTAACTTAGCTGTCGGACTACTAACGCCGCGAGATTTTCCCGGCCCCTTTTACAGGTCATTCTCTAGCGATTCAAGTAGATCGAAGCTCATATACAGTCGATTCAACCTTGTCTTGAGTTGCTGACACATCAATCACATAATGAGATCTCACTTACTTCTTGAGCTGATGATCCTTCTTCTCGAGTTGATCACGCATCGAGGAAAAGTTGGCCTCAAGATTGGTTGTCCCTTCTTCTAGGATAGGACAGATGACCGAAAAGAACTAAACAAAAAAAAGTCATGAATGCATAATAAATAACGACCTAAAAAATAACAGGTAGGATTTGTACCTTTGCCGAGTGTCGGCTGGCATAGAGGTAGCATTCGTAGTCGACACCCCAAAACCGGAAAGAGTCCTTTCTCGGCAGAACGGATCGAATATCGACCACAACCACGGCCTCGTCTTCATTCATCACGACCTTAGAAAGTTGCTCGAGGGTGACGATTTTGAACGTCGGGCTCTCTTCAGGATTGTCAGAGACCTTGACCTCAACAACCTCGGTTGGATTAGGCTCCAACATGCGGAGACTTGGTCTGGGTAGCCTTAATGCGCTTCTGCGGCGAAGAAGAAACTAGCTTCGCCTTTTCTTCATAGGCTCGAAGACTTTCTTCTTAGAGGTCGAGGAGCCCCCGAGGGCAAACTACGTGACTTGAACTGAAGGAATGGATGAACTGTTAGTGTATATACTTAAAGCTTGACTTTTTGCGTAATAAACACTATATTTATTTTGAATAAGAATCATGTGTAATTAAACTGTATTATGTTATGATGTTCTACATTTGGATATTGTGATCCATCACGGGTGAGACATAAGATCTCATATTTGTTATTTGCAAAACATAAATAATTAGTTCACGATCTAGATAGAAAATGAACAACCCATCGTGAACGATTGTAGCGTTAACTATACAATCTGTCTTTACTAATTAGTTACACTAGTGCACTGTGTGTATTGAACAAATACCAAAGATGATAAGTTGTTTTGACTGCGTATTCTTAACCCGGTAAGATATAAACAATCACACGCATAAGCATTAATGGATGTGAACTACTCTAAAATATTTTTCTTATGAAATGTATGAAAACTTTGGAGATGATTAACTGACTTGGAAAGATTATATACCACCAACACTTTAAAAAGTACAATACATTCAATGTATTGAGAAAAATATTTGTTTGTACGATTTTGTAAATATAACGATCAAGTGAAATTAACAAATTATTCATATATTGCGCATTATTTGTTTCATATTAAACAAATTTAATATTATACTTGCATTAATTGCAGGAGAAACATATACCAAATGGAAGAACAACATAATTCCATTTAAAAATACCAATTGATATAAATGAATTAAGTGTTCTATGTCAAAACAAGTAAATATGTTTAGTCTTTATGTAATGCATAATTAATAATATGAAAAATTTGGTGGAAAAGTTATTGTCTTTCGTGAAAAAATTAGAAAAGTTTTACCATTTATCTAACAGGCAATAATTCACCAAATAATTTCAGCAAGTTTAGTCAAACCAACATTTTGGTATAAGATGAGGAAAATTACTTTGTTGAGAAACATGTAATCAATAAATACAACCCTTGGTAAATTCTTTATCTGTAGTTAAAAATGGTGAGAAATCAAGTAACATAGAAATTAAAGTAGTAGTCCAATAATCAGTTTGAGGAACTTAAATTCATCCGATGGACTGTGTGTAAAAATTTTAAAGATAATATGATTGATTCACAAATTCATTTGGGCAACATATAAAAAAACATACATTTATACCATACATATCGTTTTCACTAAAAAAAATAAAAAAAAAAAAAAAAAGTTATTTGTATATGTTGTGATGCAAGCAACTCTTGGCAATTTTTACTATGCCGTGAAGATCACTAAAGCTTAGGACAAACAAATGTAAACATCAGTTTCTTTGTCTCTTGTTATGTTTGGTAAAACTAGCTGATAAGTCAGCTTATAGCTTATTTGTAATTTTTGAGCTTATAGCTTATAGCTTATGACTTATAGCAGAAAAGCTAGCTTATATGATAAAAGTGTTTGGAAAAATTAGTTGATATGCTAGCTGAAATAAAAATTCAACTGGCTTATTTGAAAAGCTACCTAAAGTAGCTTATGAGATAAGCTCGAGCTTTTTAAAAAAGCCAATCCTACCAAACGAGGCTTATTTAAATACATGGAGCTTATAAGCTAACCAAATAAGATATAAGCTAGCTTATTTAGCTTACCAAACATAGCTTAGTAATTTTTGTTCTCATAGCCAATAACATACTTGGTATATAAGGAAACTTCACTTCTACAACCAAAGTCTTATTGAAACTAGATTAACACATGCTCATGAAAAAATAGAGCACATATAGTGTATAAACAAGTATCAAGCTTGGATAAATGTTTTAATCTTTTACTATGCTATATGTTCATATTTTTTATTTTTAATAAATAAATTATACTTAGTAAAGAATTCATGTGAAAAAATTAATAATGTTGTGCACTTTACTAGTATTTTTAAAAGCTATCTAAAGTCATCTAACAAAAGAAATTTTCAACAAGTAGCTTATCATGTAAGTTCTACATTTAACAAACAGTCTGGTGTGTCTTCTTAGTTATGGTTAGTATTATATGTTTCAACTAAACTTATGATAATAACTGTGATAACAAGGAAGAGAACAAAATTTATTCAAATTTAATATTAACTATCGTACAACAAAATGTTTAAATATATGTAATTGATAATAAAATAACATTCAGCCAATATATAACTCCAAATTAATGACACCAATCGATAAACACCACAAAAATTTATCATTCAATACATTAAAAACAAAAGGTGTCCAGATCTTTATTTGACTGCAAATATAGGGAGCAGCCTGGGGGGATGGTGCACACATATTGCTGATCAATTCTACCATAGTCAGCAACAAAGTTACAAATATTGCTGACACCACAACAAATATAAATACAAATAATTGATAACAACTTCCACAAAGCTTCATAAGTCAGTCTCTCAATTAAGTGAAGCGGCTTTGAAGTAGTTTGTCTTTTTCAGGCTCTCAACAGTCTCTTTGAGTCCTTGGTCAACTGGAATGAACTCTATCCCCAGAGATTTTGCTCTTTCCTTTGAGACTAAGTACTTAGTTGCAAATGGCTTGTCATCGGCACACCTGTGTTTATTTCCCAAAATAAAACCCACAAAAGAGCAATAGAAGTAACCAAGTCAGTAGATGTTTCGAGAAAATATTTTAAGCTGCACATCATTGGAAAGAAAACTATCTTCTCACTTCATATTTCTCGCTGCAGTTGTCAGCTTTTCTCTGTATTTTTTCTTTTCTTTGTTGTTTTTTTTGGTTTTTCGTTTGACTGAATGTATATCAGACATTGGACTTGTAGTTTTATGACTTTTCAGCCCAATTAGGGCATTTATATATACAGGTTGGGGGTTCGACCTTAAACCCCCACCCTTATAGGGTGNAAAAAAAAAAAAAAAAAAAAAAACTATCTTCTCACTTGGTGGGAATTGGAAGTTCAGGATAGATTTCACGCATGATCTCGACGATTTCTGAGTAGTGCGCAACCCTCTCGACTGTAAGGTACCTTCCGTTTGCTGAAGGATTCTCAAAAGCAAGAATATGTGCCATTGCAACATCCTTCACATTTACCCACCCATATGTAGAATTTGGGTATGTCTCAGCACCTATGTAAACATTCCAAATTCATAATATTAGATTTATAAACAATTGCATTACAATTTTTTTAATTTATCATTTAGGAAGATAATATTCATTTTAAGAACAAAACTATCATAGAATAAAAAATAATGAATCACATAACTAGTACCATTAGCAAGGTTGAGGATTGCTTCACAACTTGTATTGAGAGTTGGCTGCAAGAGGGGACCAATGACCATAGGTGGACATATGGTCACCAAATCAATGTCTTTCTCCTTAGCAAACTTCCATGCGGCCTCTTCCGCCACCGTCTTCGAAAGCACATACCATTTCTAATACAAATATGATCCAAAAGTATTTAAAAAAAAATAAAACTCTAGCTATGGGGATAAATAGTAAAGAATCAAGAACAACTCAAAAAATTTGATGACTATTTTTCTTAAAATATATTGGAAATAAGAAATTAATTAAACAAAATTTAATTACCTTGGCTTTTGTGCACCATTCAGGGTCCGACCACCAAGTCTCGTCGATAACAGTTTCGGGACCACGTGGTGTATCATTGTATGCAACCGAAGCTATAGATGACGTCACCACTACTCTTTTAACTGATGGGGATTTGGCCACTGATCGGAGAACGTTTAGCGTCCCCTTCAGTGCTGGATCAATCAGCTCCGCCTGACAAAAGATTTTTAAAATATAATAAAATCATTTATTAAAATATAATAAAATTATCAAATTCACCAACTCTTTCATCATACATAATTAAAAGTGCAAGTTCTTTTTGAATTTCTGTCTCACCATATATTTTATTAAACGGTATTAATCTTATACATAATAATAACAATAGATTATAGTTGAAACCCTTAAATGGAATAGAGTATAATAAAAGGCACAATCTAACTAACCTGTGGGTCTTTAACAGCGTGGTAAAATGGCGATGCAGTGTGGAAAACGCCGTCACAACCTTGGACTATGGAATCAAAAGACCCTTCTTCCATTAAGTTGGCTTTGATCAAGTGAAGTCTCTCTTTGGCTCCTTCAAGGCTCATCAAGTGCTCTGTCTTCTTCGGGTCACCTGCACAATTCATTTCTCCATATTTATTCCATTGTCTGGATATATTAATTAAAATTTCTTAAGACCATATACTAGTTTCTGAAATTCATAGATTAATCACAGAAATAAATTGATAACTCAAAGAAATAATTACGAGTTCAAACAAGACATGAACTTACTAGCTATAATTTAACGCTCATCTATGTTATATGAATGTAGTGTGCACTACTTGATACTCTTAATGCGTACGTGTAAACAAAGTAATACAACCTCCTATTTTTTTTAAATATTATTTTGGCTTTATCAATAATTAACTAAATAAATGACGTTCTGGAAAGTTTTGTACATATTTTTCTATTATTATCTTCATATAGCTAATAGATACACTACGTCTTTTCATGTTCATTTTCATCTTTTCTCAAAACATCCATCTCTATCCTCATTAATGAGGGTTATTATTTAAAAAAAAAAATTCTTAATTACTATTACAGACAACTTCTCAAAACGACACTTATTAATAATAAGAGGTAGTACTAAAATACACGAAAATAGTACTAACTTGGGTCGCGTACAGATGCCTTGACCGTATAACCCCTCTCGAGCAAGAATTTGACGATCCAAGAGGCAATAAAACCCGATGCACCTGTTACACAGACAGTCTTCATTATTGCAGCCTACGTACAAGTTTCGCTCACTATGTTATGCTTGAAGAACACTGTCACTCTTTCGCTCTTTTTCTCTCTCAAGTGTGTGATGCTATGCTTCCACATGAGTGCACCTGCTGTTTTATAGAATGTCCTCGGGGACCAAACCGTAATTTTATCCCTAAACCATTATGGGTTATCAAATCAACAATTGCTAAAAAACAAAAAGGGCTGCACTGATTGTTAATTCAAAAACCCATGCTTTGGTTTTTTCATTTTTGGAAATTGAAAAATTTATTGTAAAATCGACTATTTGAATAAAAGCACATTGATTGTCACTCGGATGGCACGACCTATGGAGTCATTTGCACTTATTCATAAATAGTGTATTGACATGTGTCATACAATAAATACGCTTTAGACATGTGTCAATACATTAAGTGGTGGATGACTCCATAAGAAAATTATTGATGGATCCATAGAATTTTCGCTGATTTCATTTCCAACATATCCACATATTCTTGGTCAATAACCATCACCCAATTACTTTTCATTTTTATCATATATTACATCTGAAAACTCAAAATTTACCACGTTTAAATGCTATTTACGTNAAAAAAAAAAAAAAAAAAATGCTATTTACGGTCACAATAGCTCTATTTGGATTGAGCTCATGCCTGGGATCCTCAAATTGGTACGCATCTTGGAACCATCAATGGTCCAATTATCTTGGCCAATTTTTTAAATCGCTTATGTGACTCATGTCAACTTGATTTTCCTTTCTTTTTTATAGATATATATATATGTGATTGTATACTTTCCGTTGTGTTTCCGGCAAGTATGGCTATTTTTGGATAATAAATGTGTGGTTTTAGTTATTATTGAGTATTTAGTGCATTTATGAAAGTTAATATTTAATTTAGTCAGTTTTTAAATAATATTGACTACTTAAACTATTATGATTATTTAACTTACATATTTCAGCAAGAGAGCATATCTCACATTGGAAATACAAGAAAAAAAAGTGTGTTATTAAATCACTTCACAATCAACAAATTTTAAATTCAAAAATTGGAACCGTTGAACCATTCGAACCGGTCTCGGTTAATCGGTTCTACCAGTTTTGGATCAGTTCGAATGATTCTTGGTCGATTCTCTTGCTTGGCGGTTTGATGCAATAAACCAGATCGAAATGAAAGCTGGTTCCCAGCCCAACCGGTTGAACAGGCTGGTCCAATCCGGTTTTGAATTACATGGTTTTACCATTTTCCTACTTTCTAACAAGGTCAAAGAAGAGGATGAGACCGATAAGTTACTCTTTCTCTCTCCTCGTTAGGAAAAAATCCCCAAATTCAATAGCCGAAACTCTCGTTTTTCTTGGCTTCCTCTTTAATCACGGGCTCTGACCTAACATGGAGCTGGGGGGCACCAAGGTGTCCTCTATCCAGTGACAGATCTAGGAATTAATTTTAGTTAGGGGGCTCAATTTTAAATCTTATAACGAGTTTGTAGTTTAAGTAGAAACGTTCATTTCATATAAAAATTATAAATATATAAATATTGATATGTGTACCATTAAGTTTTTAAAAACTTAGAATTTGTCTCACAGTCACTTAAGGAAAAAAAGAAAAGAGATTTAATTTACAATATCAGTTCAACATCTATAGTTTATGAAAAATAACTTTTTTAGTGGAAAAATTGATTCAAATTGAACTTTTGTAGCACATTGCGTAGAAATTTTGTTGATGAGAGCTTATCAAATGAACATTTTTCAAGAAGAAAATAAATAAATTTAAAAACATGTGATTACTGTTTGTAGTATTTTTGGGCATGTGGTAACCGAGTTACCCGACTCGGGTCGTTTTCAAAGGAAGGTTGTTCTCAGCTTCGTTCACTACCTAGTCGTCAAAGTCACATAACCGAAAATAGGGTTCTAAACATTCTACTCGCTTGAATTGATTAGATTTGCATGAAATTAAACTAAGAATCTGATGGGTCTACTTCCAGATCTAGAGTAAACCGGTGGATTTGAGCTCAGATCTGCTTGAACCGCTTCCCAATCGTTGCTAGACCGCGAGATTCCTGCAAAAACTCAACGCCGGAGGTGTTTCCGGCGTAGAGCCTCCGACGCTCAAGTCAGTATGAGAGTGATGAAAGGATGCTGCGCAGCAGCTATGGGGGAGAGTGGGAATGAATGAGAGTTAGGGTTTAGGGTTACCTCACCTCCTTTATATAGGAGTGAATATTTACCTGAAGTACCCAGAATGCCCAAGTCGGTGGACCTAGAAGGTCCAGAATACCCTGGTCGATTCGTCTCCCCTTATTGCTGAGTCATCACAAGATTCCTTCTTACCTTTTATGGTATGTAGAGCTTCAGATAAGCTATAAGTGTAATGAATCGTCTTCACTGTTCTGGTCCTTGAGATGTATAGAGTCGACCTCGAGAGCTAGGAAGTCGACTTGTGGATTCGTGCGGATTCGGAGGCTACGCTTGGTTTAACTCTCTGCGGTACAGTCGACTAGTGGAAATCGACCTAGGGTATTTGAATGCTTGGGAGTTAAGCTCTTGATGTTCTTCTTCCATTGATGTCGACTAGTAGAAGCCGATAGACTAAGGTCGACCTGCTAAAGTCGACTAGAGCAATTTCTGCCTTTTCTCGACTGCTCCCGATAGAATCGACTTTCGGGAAGTCGCTTTGAGCCTGTCGACGGAGGCATGTCGACACGTGAATTGTTCAAGCGGTTCGCCGGTCGAGTAAACATCCTCTGGACCGGGTTATCCTTATGTGGTTATATCAAAATCTAAGAGCAAATGATGAAAAATGCAAGAATAGAGAGAAAGATCGAAACTTTAGTTTACCGGAATCTCCACGACTCAAGAAAAAGAAAATAAACAAAGAGAAAACATGCAAGCATATTGATCCTAGATAATCTAACACGAGCTTTCAACACTTGATCATCACGCTTTAAGCAAAGTCGAGATCTCTACACAAGGTAAGCACATCTAGATTCCTAACACACATAAGCAAGCAATAAAAATAAAGCAAACCCTAGAAACAAGCATAAACACAACTCGACAACACAAACTCGAAGTAGAAGGGCCTAAGCAAGGTACCTACTCTCCTATCCCATTAGACGTGTCCATTTTCGGGGCCGGGTCGAAACCCGGCCCGGCCCGCCGGGTCGGCGGTTCACCGTGTACTGAACCGGGCCCGGCCCGCTTGTAACTAAGGGCCGGTTCACTGAACCGGCCCTTAACCGCCGGGTCGCAAACCCGGCGGGTCGAGTCGGTTCCGGGTCGGGCCCGGCGGGTTTGCGGGTTTATTAATTTTTTTTTTTTACTTTTTTTGTTATTTTAATGTATATTAATGTTTATTTGAATAAATAGTTTGTATATACTTCGAAAATATAAGTTTTTGAGTCTGTTTGTCTATATCATTTCAAAATGAAACAAAAATAATGATCGGGCGTCAATTCTTGGAACCAAACGGTTAACGGTGTTGTATTTTATTGAGTATGGCGGAGAAGTACAACTTGAGGTAGTTTAGAAATGCTAAATTGTACGTCAAATGAAGTCGAATAAGTGTAAAGAAAAAAATTATTAATGTAATGGACTTGAGCTTAGTTAACAGTTATTAAGTTCGAATATCGTGTACGATGAAAAATTTTGTTGCCAAAAAATTATACTCGAACTTAATAATGTTAAATAAGGTGCCTACGTATCCCTTTATTTGGGAATCAAAGTCCACGTAGTTCTTCT